GGGGGGGGGCGGAGAGGGGGGGCTGAGACCCGGGGGCTGCACAGCCTGATTCCGAGCTTCTAACTCCCTCCTCCTTCCGGGCCGCCCTCCCGCCCGTGGGGAGCGCGTTTGCTCTGGTTCACTGTCGCGCCTCAGTACCTTGACCTTGACCTTGACCACGCCACTGCCCTCTCCTCAGCACGTCGCCAGCTCCCACCTTACCTAGAAGTACTCAGGCCGAGGCGGCCCCTCGGCCCCGTCCACACCCACAACATGCAGTCCTTGGCTCTTGTCTGGGCCTGCAGCGTCCCGGTCCCCACGCCTGCAGCGTCCCAGGTCCCCACGCCTGCAGCGTCCCAGGTCCCCACGCCTGCAGTGTCCCGGTCCCCACGCCTGCCACCGCTCGGGCCGTCACGGCGGCTCTGCCGCACGCTGCGCTCCAGTGCATCTGTGTTTCCACAACCCGAGCAGGCCGGTCCTGCAGAGCCCAGAGCCCCGCGCAGAGGCCCAGCCCTCAGTGACTGCAGGGGTGCTGCCCTCCGACCCCAGGACCCCCTTCGGGGACTGTCGCCTTGAGGGTGTCTGCGGACGGGCCAAAGAGGCTCCCTTTTGCGACTCCCAACCTCCCCCCACACTTTCCGCCGGGGTTTGTCACCCGTGACGCGACATGGAGCCTGTCCGCCTGGCCCGGTTCCTGGCGTGGAGCCCCCACCCCCGCGCGGCGTCATGGGCGACGGCACCGTCTTGTCCCAATGAGGCGGCTCCTGGCCGGGGCCGGTCCCCAGGACAAGCCGCGCTTGGAAGCTCGTCCTCCAGGAGGGCAGGCAGCGCCTCCTGGGCCGCAGCAACGCGAGGAAGCCGCCCCAAGAGTCCACAACCCGCGGGGTTCCGGCGTCCCCACGGGGAGGGCGGCACACCCCAACTACACGGGGACACAGCTCCTTCTCTCGGGACCCTCGCGGACCCCCGTGTCTCTCCACCCGGCTGTCCCCCGCTGTCCTTCGGGGTGTCCTCAATAGTCTAGATGAGCCGCTGAACACGGGGGTTGCCCTGAGCGCGGAGCCGGGAAGCACACGAGCCGAGCCTGGGCGCGTCGTGGGGACCCCCCTGTGGCGGGGGGTCAGGCTGCGGGCGACGACGTGGGCTCCAGGCAGGCGTCGGAAGCGGGGGTCGGGGACGGCCGTCTTTTGGGCCGGTAGCTTCAGAACTGAGCTAACCCGTAGGGTGTCCAGCTGTGGGAGGCTTGCTTATTGTTGGGGGACCCCACCCCCCCACATGTGGTGACCGTGTCAGAGGTGAGGTGCTCTCGTGAGAGTGGAGGAGGCTCCCAGGAGATGAGCCCTCAGGCGGGAAGAGCTTTGTTCCTCGGCAGTGCAGCTCCAGGGGCTCCCCAGCACCCCGCTGTCACCCTGGAGCCCACCTGGGCGCCCCTGCGCGGCGCGCACCCCGCCTGCCCACGGGCGGAGGAGGCTGCCGTGGGTCCCGGCAGGGGGGCCGAGCGGTTAGGTTCGCCTCCGGGTTGAGGTGGAGACGGCGACGGGGCGTGTTTAGGGCGACACTGGGGCGTCCCCTCCCCACCCCTGCCTGGGGCACCGGGCTCGGGTAGAAGACGGGGAGTCAGCCGGGCCCAGGGGCTGAGCTCACCCCCGAGCTCGAGCCGGCGCGGAGTCGGGGTCACGCCGCGCGCGCGGCAGGCGCACCCCGTGAACGATGCGGGGGGCAGCGAGGACCTGAGCACGCGCCCCTCCGGCGCCCCGGCCCTGCTGCCCCCGAGGGCGTCCCCGCGGCTCGGCGACCCGTCCCCGGACCCCGGCGCACGAGCTCGGACCGGGCGCGGCCGGCCCTCGGGACACACAGGCGTCTGCACACCGGCCGTTCCTGCGGCGGCTCCCGCGGCCGCCCGGCGAGACCGGGAGGAGCAAGCTGTCGCGCCCGCGGTGGCGCGGACTCCGGCGGCCCGGGGTCCCGGCACGGAGGCGCCCTCCCACGGCCCCGGGCGGTGCGTCCTGGGGGCCCCTGAAGACGCCCCGGGGACTCGGACGTGCCCACGGGGCGGGTCCCTGCGCTACCGAGGACCAGACCCCAGCCGTCCCCGGCCCTCCGGTGGCTCCGCCTCGGCTCCCTGCCGGCTCACCGCGGCACCGGGCGCTCCCGGCAGGCCCTCGGCCATTTCCGCCGTCCCTCGGCCATTTCCGCCGTCCCTCGTCCCTCCCTGTCAATCCTCGGCCCTCCCGCGCAACATCGGCCCCTTCCGCCAATCCTCGGCCCTATCGTCGACACTCGGCCATTTCCGCCGCCACTCGGCTCTCTTCGTCATCAATCCCGACCGTTCAGCGATCCTCGGTCCTTTCCGTCACCGTTAGGCCCTTTCCCTCGACAGTCGGAGCTCCTCGCTGCCCCTCGACCCTGCGCGTCCGCGCTCAGCGCTTCAGACACCGGGTGCGCGACGCTCGAGTCTCCGCGGCACCTCGGCTCGGGGCCTGGACCCGGGGTCCCCCGAGCACCCCGCCTGCTGTGCAGCCCCCCCCCCAGCCCTCAGGGAAGCGGCCCGCAGCCCGGGCTGCCCGGCTCTCTCTCTGGCTGGGGTTGGGGGTACGGGACCCCCACGGGGACCCACTGGCCACTCCGCGCGTGCGCCCCGTCGCAGTTGGATCGATGCACCGGTCTTCTCTGTGCGGCTCCTCAATGTACGATGTGCTTGGAAAAGCTTTCCCTACGCTGACAACACGACTCTTCATTTTCTGTTACTTGACAGTTACTTTTGTTTTCGTTTCCCCGTTGGTGCAGCCGGCACTGGTGCGTGCGCGCGCGTCTAAGGTGTGACCGCCGGGTCCCCGGCGCCACTCGCCGAGAAGACCCGTCCTCCCAGCCGCGGCCACAGCACCCGACCGCCTGCACACCCCACGCGGGCTCGCTCCGGCCGCGTGGCCGCCAGCACCGCCCCCGGCGCAGGCCCGCGCACCTGTGAGACCGTCGAGTCAGGGGCGCCCAGCGCGTCACGGGTTAACCCGCGGCGTTTTCTCAGCGGCGTGTGCACCGACGACGCAGCGACAAGGGACGGCGTCCTTCCGTCCGTGGAAGGGGACGCCTGTGGCTGTGAGAGGCTCCGCGACCTGGCAGCCCCGTCACGCCTCGCCGCCCCGCTTCCTGCTCGGGACTCTGAGACATAGACGAGGCCAGCACACGTCCCCACGGATACGATTTTTCTCAGACGATTTAAAAGCTGTTTTTGCAACTCTTTTTCCATCATATGATCAACAAGCTTTGCCCACTTGCGTCTTCACTTGGGATCAGCTTGCTGGCTCCAGGCCCCTGTTTTTCGTAAACTCGCCCAAAGAAGATGGCTCCCGAAGGGTGAGCTGCAGGACAGTCGTGGCCCTGGGCCCCTCACTCACCAAGTCATCCTGGAGCTGTGCTCTGAACCCGGCTGAGCAGCTGGGGCTCCACACCGGGCGTGACCCGAGGGTCTGGGCACCTGGCTCGCGAGTCCTCCCGGTCCGCCCAGGCCCCTCCACTGAGGACACATTTCCACTTGTGAGGGGACCTGGCTCAGCCTCTCTGGAGGGGGGCCGATGCCCGCAGGACAGGGCCACGCAGTGCTGTGGCCACCTCCTCCCCACCCCAGCTCCCGCTGGCACCTTTGATGCCCATCACGTGTTCCCTGGCTCCACGCGGGTCACCGCTAATGCCTCCCTCCCTGGGGGACTCCCCCGTGGGCCCCTCCTGAGTCTCTGCAGGAGTCCTGTCCCCTGACTGTCCCTCCTCCTCCCCCTCCCCCGTCCCAGATGGGACAATTGTCTTGCCCACCAGCAAACCTGAAATACATATGGGGCGGCCTCCAGCTCACTCTCAAGAACCCACAAACCCTAGGGTGGGGGGGCGGGCAGAGAGCAGGTTCACAGTGGTTCAATCTGGCCACTTCCAACCTGCACCCTGTTTCCTACCAAAGCCCCGCCCTGGGGTTCCCATGTGACTCAAATTCCTCAGACCTAGGGCTACCACCACTTCCTTTCCTCTGACAGCTGCTCCCATCTGACACCTGGTCACTGGGGACCCACAGAGGGAGACCCGTGTTCACGGCAGGTGGGCTGCAGTCTGGATGGGAGTACCAAACATTACACTGAAAATTTAAAAAGCAATCGTCAGAGTGGCCCCAGGTGCTCCTGCGATTGCTCTGTGAAAGCGAGTCACAGGACACATCCTGGCCTGGCCCAGTGGAGGTGGACCTCTGAGGTGGCAGAGCCGAGTGTGCGGGGGCCGCCCCGAGGTCATCTTCCAGGATGCCCGTGCGTGCCAGCGGGCTGGTGGCCGTTACAGCAGCCCTGTTATCGCAGCACGCGCCCTCCCCTGCTCCCCCTTCCAGGCTGGCTCACTGGGGGCAGCCATGTGCTCTGCTGTAGTCGCGGGACCACCTTCTGGGTAGACGGGCTACATGGGGTTTCTAGGGAGGCAGCAGCCCTGTCACTGTCATCTCGTCTTGCTGCAGGTGTGAAGTGTGCATGTGACGGCCAGACGCGTGGGAAAGCTGACCAGAGGAAAGCCGGGAGGAACCCTGGGAAGATCCTGGGGAAGTCAGGCCCACGGGAAACCCCACAGGCTTGGAACCAGAGGCCCCAGATCTCTCTGCGAGGGGGTGGGCGCGGCCGAGGCAGGTGACAGTATATCCAACACTCAGGCCCACCCCGGAGCTCTGCCCACCCTGGAGAGCAGGCCACACCCACCCCAGCCCTGGGGAACTTGGAGGACCAGCCTCAGAACGTGAAGGACGGAGACTGGACTAGGGTGTCTGACCTGTGGAGGCGAGTTCTATACCCTCCTGGGGGCCCTGGGGTCGGATGAGTGACGGGGTCATAGGAAAGTCACGAGTTCCAGAGGGAAACGGGGCAGGACTGAGCATCACTGTGAACTGTGGGGACACAGGAGAGCTTCGAGGGCCACTGGCTTCCAGGGCCACCACGCGGGACATGCCTGCTGGTCGTGCACAGGAACCTGCGAGGCAGGGGTGCTGGGGCCTGGAGGACAGAGGGGGCTGCAAAACAACGCTCAAAATAAAAGCGCAGCTCCCGGAAATGCCGTTCAGGAACAGGAGGGGTTCCGGTCGGAGAAGCCGTGAAAGGAGCTGAAAGCGGCTGTTGTGGCAGCAGGCGCCCAGGACGGCAGTGCAGGTCCCGGTGTTCTGGTTGAGTCAACAGAATGACTTCACTGTAACGGTCACTGATAGGGTGCTTTGGAAGGAAATTAAATTAAGTAAACAAAAGCAACAGAAGTTACTATGCCCAACACTAAAATAACAAACAGTAACAGTAAAGGTGAATTCAAAGTAGTTCAGGAAAGTTACCGATGAATTCAGAATTGCCTTGAGGACTCCGAACGGGCAGATACACCTATACACACCGCCTGCGATATTTGTGTCATATTACATTAACATAATGTGTATAACAATGAAATGTATTCGTTTGCTCTATACAAACCTCTGTAAAAGATGACAGAAGGCGCATCGGAATGGCACTTACAGAATATAAGACAGCATATATTCTATGGCCTTATTAAAGTGGACAACAGAGAAAAGTCGGGAACGCTGAGGGGTGCCTCCCGTGTGAAAGTGCTCTCCCCCCAAACCTCTGAAGAGCACTAACCGGGTTCCTTCCTTTCAGCCCTCTGAAAACTCACTTTTAACTTGAGTTGTATGACTTTTAACGCCACTTGCATTCCTGAGAACCTTGGAAGTGCTGGTGTCATTTTAAAGGGTTAGATCAGGTAGGAGCACCGTTTCTTACTGAAGTGATTTGGTGCTCAGAGCGGCGCCGGGCGGGGTCTGGGGACCAGGAAGTGGGCACAGGACACACCGTGCCCGGAGACGCGGGGAAATGAGACCAGGTTTCAACCAGGAACATCAGTCACGAGTCGGAGACGAAGGGCCTCTCCTGGTGCGTCAGTCCTCCGCTCCATGTCACCGTTCAAACCTCCTTACGAGTCCCAGGGTCAGCGTGCTCCTCCCCGGACTCTCAAACAGCAGCATGGCTTCATCTGCTGTGACATCTCAGGCTGTGAGGGGCACCGGATGCTTCGCCCTCAAAGCCACTGACGGAAAACGGCCTTGGCACCTGGACACTGGGCGTCCCAGCTGGTCCTGCAGGACACGAGCAGCTCCTCCCACACACAGGTGACGCGTAGTGCCCGCCTCCGGCCTGCAGCTGTCCCAGCAACACACCAGGGCGGCCTGGCTGGGACCTGGCTGCCGCCACCGCGTGTCCCGTGAGAGTTCATTCCGCGACAGGGCGGACACGAGGCGACTCGCATGGGCAGCCCCAGCCCCGCCGTTTCACAGGGAGGACAGCAAAACCTGGGGCAAGGAGGGGCCTGTGCAACAACTGGTCTGTGGCAGACACGGGACTAGTCACATCTCCTAACCACAAACGTGACCCAGGGTGAGGCTCGAGGATGCACTGACCCTCAGCACACGGAGGGCGTTCGGTCCGGCTGGGAGTGTCACCCGAGGTCACACCTACCTGGGGACTTGTCACTTATGTCCCCCGGCAGGTCCCTTACCGATGACAGCCGAGGCCTGTTTCTTTAGTGACCGCAGTCTGTCTGAGCTTGGCCGAGGGAGGCACCGTCAGGGCCACCCCCAGCTCAGACGGAGACGAGCCCCGCAGAGGAAGCCCACTGTGCGGGGGCACAGCCCGTGGTGGGCGCCTGCCGCTGCTGCCACGTGCCGGCCCGGCGGTGTTTCCATGTGAAATGTCCACGGGACTGATTTTATTACTAGAGACATGATTTCCTTCCCGACAGCAGTTTAAAAGAAAGCTAATTTAATATTGAGATACGTATGCCCAGGTATTTCTGTTTTCTGACTCAGAAAATGAGGTAATCCTAATAGCATGACAATCAGGACTTTGTGAGGCCTGGCCGCTGGAAATGACGTAAGGACATTCCAGCATGTCGCTCGTTGTGGAGCAGTCAGAACCCCACTCCGCAGTTAGTCAGAAGAAGGACATTCCCCAAACTCGGCCGTTCCCTCCAGGGGCTGGGTCCAGGGCGCTGCCTCCGCGAGCGGGGAGGACTGGGACGTGGTCCAGCCCATCGGGGCCACCACTGCAGAACCTCTTCTCACGGGGAAAAGCGGCAGCCCGCGTCCCGGCCGAGCACCAGGCTCCTGGAACTCCCTCCCACGCTGGGGGACGGTGTGGAGAGCCTGCCCGGGGCGACCGGCGCTGAGGAGCGCTGTGCAAGCCCAGTCGCCGGCGGACGCACTAGGCCAGGAGAGGGGACGCGCAGAGGTCAGCGGCCTCAGTGTGAGGAGCTGCGGCCAGTGGCCCACCTGCAGCTCTGATCCTCCCTCGGCATCCCCACCCGCGGCCCAGAGGCAGCACAGGCCCGTCCTGGTCACAGGCCCCCGGCTCTGCCTCACCGACAGGGTAGACCTTATTCCGGAGCATGGGGGCTGGTGACACGACACAGTAGGCCAGTTAACAAAGCTGACATCTTTCACAGGGAGCTGCTGCCCGTGCAGGAAGCCAGCTTCCGTGAGCGAATCCGGAGCCCTGTGGGAGCCAGTCGAGTTCCGGGTCCAGGAACACGGCCAGCCTGGGTCACGAAGGGACAGTCTGGGCAAAAGTGTCGCTGACAGAAGCGGGCTGGGCAGAGGAAGGAGGCGAGTCTCTTGTGGCCCTAATGCTCGCCGGCTCCCCTGAACGCTCTTCCCAGTCGGGCCGACTCGGGCTTCAGACTCTGCCTTTGTGGTGTCCAGTCTCAGCACGCTTCCTGCTGGGCCAGCTGGCCGGGACCTCCGCCCTACACTCTGGCCAGGTGCCCTCCCCTCCAGGTGAGGCGTGAGTCCCCCCTGAGCCCTCAGCAAGGATCCTGAGATCGGTCTGGCTGGAATCCCGCTATAGTCTGCGTGTCACCCCCAAGTTCACACCTTGAGCGCTAACCCTGAGGCCCCACCTCTGCACCCCTCATTCTGTGAGAGCTGCTGAAGCAGTGCAGTCACCCGGAAGCATTTCTAACTGGTGCCCTTTCACCGCTGTAACACACTGAACACACAGCACGTGTGACAAGAGTGGGGAAAGGACCCGAGCCAGCACAGCCAGCGTAGCCGACGAGGGAGCCCCAAGTCCAAGGGGCTGATGTTTGCGGTCCGGCTGTACATGGGCAGATGGGGAGGTCCCGACTGGCCCGTCCATATGAGGTCCACACAGAGTAAAGGAAGCTTTCCACTTCGCAAACCACTCAGACATGGGTGGAAATTTTAGCATTCCATCAAATCATCTGACGGACCTGACGCCGACACCTATGATGCCAAGAAAACGCTCGCTGACCCTGACAGCCGCCACCCCGCCTCCCACCGGCGTCCAGGGGCACAAGACACTCCCAGCAGAGCCGTTCCCAGTGACTCCATTTCTGCCCCCAGAATCTCACCCGTGGCCAGCAGCCTGAGCGGGAGCCCTTGAGCAAGGGGTGCCGCGCCACACCCTGCCTGCCCTCTTCTCGGTAACGCCTGCACCACACCTTCTGCTGTGACCTGCGGAGCCTGCCACCTGCGCTCTGACGGGCCTGCTCCATGGACATGTTGCAGCTACTCACCCTCCGTCCTGGAGCAGCCGGAATAGGTCAGTGGGCAGCAGACATAGATCCTGCGCTCGTGGGGCTCCCCCCAGCCTCACCTCTGAACCCAGAGGAACAAGCCCACATGCACACGTGGCCACTTAGCAGCCGTGTCACCAACCAGCCAGTCACAAGCTCAGAGCCTCCGCTCCCAAACTGTAAACGGGGTCAGAAGTGCAACTTCAGAGCCGCTCGTGCAAAACGCAGGAGCCGTCACTCAGTGCCTCCTGCACCAGCGCCCACTTCACGGCGACACACACGGCACTTCACAAGCATGCATTTTTACCAACGGAGGCAAGCCCCTCCGTCAGCAGGAAGACGACCACTGCGTCACTGCGACACTCGCTTCTCCGTGGCCTGGAAGCAGCCCCGCAGTGTCTTGGAGGTCTGCCTGTGCTGAGGAGCTCGTGGGGGCTGAGAAGTGGGGGCTGAGAAGAGGGGGCAGGGCATAGGTGCCACTGCCCCCAGGCCCGCAGGGCACAGGCTCCCTCCACAAAGGAAGCGCACTGTCCTGCTCCCTCGACTCACTCTGCGTCCTTGGCCTATGCTGTTTGCCCATTCTGAAAAACAAACTCGGGTACAGAGAAATATTTCTTTACCATAACAGAAGGCACAGTGCCAAGTGATGGTCAATGACATCTGACCGCCAGGTCAGAGTCAAGCTGGACAGCCCACGTCCAGCTGAGGACACCTGTGACCAGGAGGACAGTCAAGGCTGACACTGCCAGGGCCCCCACTTTCCCAGAGATGCAGCATTCTGAGCCTTAGGTGAACCCTCCCCGGCTGGCGTCTCAGCGGACAGCGTGTCACACAGAGCACGTGTCAGCTGGCCGGGCAGTGCAGGCCGCCGCTCTGGGCCAGCGCTTGCACCTGCCCCCTGTAGCCCTCAGGCACGCACATGGCCGGGACGGTAACCTGGGCCCATGAGGCCCCGGAGAGCAGGGTGCCACCTGGGGTGTTACCAGCCCCGGCACTGTAGGCGCGTGACGGTTCGTGGTCCTCACGACAAGTCCTGACAGAGGGAGCCGGTGAGGACGTGGGTGCAGGCCAGCTCGCGTGTTCCTGAGATGCGGGATGAGCGGGGAGCCCCGGGACAGCCCAACTCCTCGTGAAGGTCAGATAAAAAACAAGCTTTGAGCTGGACTGTGAACACCTGAGGGCCCAGCACAGGCTGTGTCTCTGAGACAGGGACTACTCAGTGTGTGAGCAGCGGTGAGACACAAGAGCCGACACCCTGTGGGTTCTGCGAGCATCAGTCATTTATTACACGTCTGCACGCTGGGGACACCTGCCACCACACGGGAAGGTGCAGGCCACAGGAGGCAGCGTCTTCAGTTAGCTGTCTCGGCAGGGACAGGGTTTGCTGGGTATTGTTAAGGTTTAAGTCGCTTCTTAAAATTAGATAAATAGGGATTATATATTCTGACTTAATCAATAGTCAAAACACCAGTAGTGAGAACATTATTCTGAGAGTTCCAGGGTAGTAAGCATCGCCAGTCCCACAGGGTTTTCACCACCAAGACACACGTGGGTTTCACACACACTTCAAAAGTGCTTTCGATAAAAATAAACTTTTGCTACGAACTGCACACTCGCAGCAAGAATAAAATGTCTACGTCTGCTAGGTTGTATACACCAACCTAAAATTGCTAGGTTGGTGTATAAATTCTACCTGGGCACAACGGTGAACACGATGTCCCCGGGGCTCATCACCAGGCAGGTGAGGGAAAGGGGACACGGGGCCCAGCAGCCGAGCACGTCCGGGGCAGGCCTACCCCCCAGCCCGTAGGGAAGCCGGCCCGAGCTGGTCTTGAAACCTACAGTGAAAGCCCACCGAGGAATCACGGTCTCATTGGGCACCTGGTGGCCACTCAGTCAATTTGAAATGGCTCTAAAATCTAGACAATTCTGATTACTAACCAGCTACCTTATTTTGTTAGTCGAGCAATACAAATACAAAATTCTTGTTTTAATATAGCTTCCTTGATAAGAAAACAACCTCACAAGCTTTAACCTCAACTACCCCTCATTCACTCTGCGTTGTCTGTTCCCGCCTGTCTACACAGTTGTGCCACTAGATGGCGCCACAGCACACCTGGTCTTAAATGTCCTATCCTGGGAAATTTTAACAAAGTAACAAATCGTATTATTTTCTAGCTTAGGACAATTCTTTCCAATTAAAAAGACTATAAATTTTGAATAAGACACGGGAAATGGTGGTGGTGTGACTAGAAAGGATGTCTACGCAAGCACACCCACCAACGTGGCATTCCTGACGTGAAGTCACTCCACAGGCAGGCCCATCTCGGAGGTGGAGGTGCTGCGGGGTCAGCTCCGGACCCGCAATAAAGTGAGCAGCGACTTGCAGCTCGCCTCATTTGGGAAACAGGCAACATCTGTGGAGCATGATAAAGCCAAGTGCAGTAAAACAAGGTATGGCCGTATTCAAACAGAGCCGCCCCCTGCCGCCTGCAAAGCCTGCAGCACAGGTCTCTTTCCTGACGACGGACAGGGTGAGCTCACAGGAAGCAGCCACAGAGACGAGGAACCGAGAGCGCCCACACCTGCTCCGACAGGCAGACCAGGGTCCTCAGCGCTCCACGGCCACCTGGACATTAATGCTATGGACCGGCTGGCGAGAGTCTCAGGGGGCACGCAGCCCTCGAGGGTCCCGCGTGCGGGCGGCCGAGCAACTAGTGCCCCTTCTTCAGGAGCAGCTGGCCATTGGTCCGCTCGGGCCGGCTGCCTTTGGGTTCTGGTGGTGCAAAGTTCCAGTCCACCGGGCTGAGGAGCTGCTGCGTCTTCTTGTGGGTCCAGTATGGGTTGATGAGCAGCGTCAGCAGGCCCAGTCCACAGAGGAAGAGCGCCAGGTGGGGCAGGTACAGGCTGCTGGCCAGCGCGGCCCAGTGCTGGAAGCACACCCACCACATGTGGTAGGTGAGGACCATGCGGCAGTGAAACATGTGCACCATCAGCCACTGGTTCACCTTCCAGAGCAGAGAGTCCGACCAGCCGGCCTGTGGGGACAAAGCAGACGGCGTCAGCTCAGGGCCAGCAGAGGCTCAGGAGCAGCGCTCCCCCCAAGGCCGCCTCTCACGGGGGCTGGCTCCACAAGGCCTGTCCGCTCTGAGGGGAGCCCCTGCTGCCTGCTCGGCGGCCAGCTTGCTCTTCAGAGCCACCAGAGTCAACCTTTTTTTCAGTCTCATTACAATCTTTTTCTCTTTACCTTGGGTTTGCACATGAGTAAATACGCTTCTTAGTACAACTACAGAAGATATACGCTGGTCCTGCTGGACCTCATTCCCAGACCCAGACCTGAGAGAAAATGTTGTGGAAGGGAGAAGTTGAGGGTTAGGCTCATTTCCAGTGTGGGTTTTGATGCTTTCACCCCAGTAGCCCTTGGACACGAGCCAAAATAAACATGTCTTAAAATTTTTCTAAATTTATATTAAAACTAGTTTCTAACAGTTGTAGCTAAAACTGAAGATGGTGTGCATCAGACCATGGACACAAAGGTGGGACGTCACGGCAGGGACCTCGTCTGCACCAGGACGGGCCCACACCCGGACGTCCCACACCTGGACGGTCCGGACCAGTGGGCTTGTGCACACTGCTCTTTAACCTTCTCTCTGCCAAACCCAAGCAGCAGAATGTTCCCCACAGTTCCATATCATGGTGTCCCTTCCGCAGATGGGGACACTGTCTTGTGTTTGCAGAAGGAAGCTCACTGGTTAGAGAGGGAGGCACAGGCATGCAGGGACAGCCCTGAGATCAGTCAAGGGGCACGCTTTACTCAAGCTGCACAGCCCAAACTTGAAGGGGACACAGCAAACCAGCCTCCAAGAGCAACTAAATTTAAAAAGGAATGCTAGCCTCGTTATGTCATAAGAATGTGTACACACAGCTCTGACAAAGAAAACCAATAATCAGTGATTTAGTCACCTGAAACTAATATAAAAATAAAAATTAAAAATTAAAAAAAGAACCTAAATAAAAAGAATCAGTTATCATGTCCTCAGGGCACCAGATATCATGTCTTCGAGGCCCCACGTTGGGGTGCCAGATATCACGTCCCACGTGACAAGGGCTGGGGTTTCGAGGAGGGGCCGCAAAGGGTTAAGAAATCACAAGAGTCAAAAGTCGAGTTTCTGTGGGCCAGGGGTCTCGTCTCTGCAGACCAAAAAGGAGCCCTGATCCTGGCGGGCGAATAACTTCTATTTACAACTGTCACAAAGAGGTCAATTTGAATATCTATACCCAGTTAATTGATTCGGTTAGACCGGCAGCTGCTTCACCGAAGCTCATTGTGATCAAGCAGAGTTGTGCTTTCACACCTGCTATGATCCCCGGGATGGACTCAGCATTCGGAGACCACCGGATAAGGAAGTTTCACCGAGACCATTCCCTCGGGTCTCAGCATTCCGAGACACTTCCTTAGGACTTCAAAGGATCAGTGCGTGGGAGCCTTCCAGTCGGCAGCTGCAAGGTGACAATCAGTGACTTAGGACTGCCTTAATATAGGAAAAATAGAAAAACAAAGGACGTGTTTGTTGTTTGAAATACTGTGAAACTGCCCCAAAATAACTTCATAAAAAACGTGAATGGTCTCCACTGTGGGGTTAGACACACCCAGGTGCTTTCCACACGAGCGGTAATTAGGTTATCTGTGAAGAAACGGCCTGCTTACTGTGGCAGCTTCAAACAGTGAACACGCTGCTGCACGGACTCTTGCCGGGTCTACATGAAAAATGCATGTGAAGGGGCGTGGGAGGCGAGGACAGGGCCTGGCGGTTGGCGGGGGCGCCACTTCAGGCCGCTCGGGCGGGTGGCTCCCACAACAGCCGGCTTTCAGTCGGCCTCACCCAGGCGCAGATCACACACTCCGGGCCTGTGTGTGGTTCCCACGCCAGGCAGATGGAAGCCCGTGCTCCCCGCAGGCCCTGCACTGCTCACGTGTGATAAGAACTGAGGAGGCACTCGTCGAAAACAAACACAGCACCCCCAGCAAGCCACAGGGGACAGACATGTCCCCTCGGACGGGGGAGGGGCTCAGACCAGGAGAGTCTGCGTCCATCAGTCTGACGGTGAGGTGGCGTGAGAGTGAGACCAAACGTGAGGGGTGGATGTTGGAACTTGTTTCTTGTTTGTGAAATTAGAGGGTTAGGCTCCAAGTTCTTGGAGGTTCCTGGACGGTCTGCAGCACGGTCACAACAGCAGTCAGTTCTCAGTGGCAGGGGACCCTCTCCTACCCAGCTTGCTTGGCATAATCACTGGTAGTCCTTCTCTCTCAGAAGTGCCCGTTTGGGTGAGAAATACTATGGTCGCATTGCCAAGTGGCCCCGGTCACCAGGTCCACAGGTCATGGCGGGTACTGAGCCTTGGCACACACGTGCTGGTGTCACCCCAGGCACACGCAGGCAGGCAGCAGCCGGTGACGCTTGGACTCAGGTGCCAGTGGCCTCTGGACCCACAAGCTGAGGTGGAGCACCTGGGGCCGCAGCTGTCCTGCTATGTAAGAGCGGGCAGGGGGGCCGCAAGGCGGGGAGCAGGCGGCGGGGCGCTTCCGCACAGCACGCGTGTGTCTCTGCAGTGAGCTGCGGCCGACACGCGCTGGCTTCAGCTGTCCACCACCACGAGTTGACACTTGTCTATGCAGGTGCTCTGGGCTCACTGATCAGCCCACCGTAAGCTGAAAATGTACCTGACACACCTCCCACGGAGCACCACAGCTTAGCCTGGCTGACCTGACACGCGCTCAGAACAACATCCAAAAGCACTGGCAGCGCGGACCCAGCGTGGACACGCTCGCCCACCCGCGTGACGGCGGGGCTGATGGCAGCTGCGGCTGGCCGCCAGCCTGGGAAATACCAGAAGCCAAGATCTTAAGTGCAGTTTCTGCCCAGTGTTTGCTGCTTTCCCACCGTCACAAAGGCAGAAGGCACGAAGCGTCCGCATCGCAAAATAATTATCGCAGTAAGTCTAGTTACCGTCCACCACCACACACAGAGTGCTTTTTTACGATGAGAACTTACAAATTGTAGAATGTGACCTATTTTATAACTGGAAGTTTGTACCTTTTGACCACCTTCACCCACATTGCCCACCCCCCGACCCCTCCCTGCAACTACCAATCTATTCTCTGTATCTACAGGTTCATTTTTTCCCTTTTTTTAGATTCTACATATAAGCAAGACTGTGTGGTATTTGACTTCTTTCACTCAGCATAATACCCTCTAGGTCCCTCCATGTTGTTGCAGATAGCACCATTTCCTCCTTTTTTACGGCTCAGCAATATCCCACCTCTTTATGGACCACCTCTTCTTTATCCATCCATCTATCCATCTATCCATCTATCTATCCATCCATCCATCAGCAACACAGGTCGCTCCCACATCTTGGCCATTGCAAAGAATGCTCCTATGGATACAGGGTGCAGCTGTCCTTTTCTATTAGCATTCTCTTTTCCTTTGGATCAATCAATACCCAGAAGTGGGATTCCCGAGTCATAAGGTAGTTCTATTCTGATATTTTGAGAAACCTCTACACCGTTTCCCATAGTGGCTGCACCCACTTACACGCCCACCCACAGTGCATGAGGGTCCCTTTCTCCACATCCACGCCCACACTTGTTATCTCTTGTCTGTTTGATGATGCCACTAGGACAGGTGTGAGGTGACATCTCTCCCTGTGGCTCTGATTTGCATCCCCTGACAACTGGTGATGCTGAGCAGCTTTAATGAGCACATACATTTTCCCACGCTTATGTGAATGTGACCATTAACTAAGGAGAACTTTAAACAAGTCCTGGATGAAAGAGGCGTATTATGCTCCCGGGAGGGAAACCATTAAGACTTTACATCCGCCCTCCTTGAGTTCACGGAGAGATTTAGTCCAATGAAGAGACCACATTAGTATTTTCTGCGAATACACTAGTATTTTTATCAACTTAACAAGGTGAGTTTAAAGCTCTGGTGGTAGAGTAAGTATACAAGGACAAACCAGAGGGTTTGAAAAGAAGACAACCGAACATGCTCACGACGTAATGAAATACAACAAAGCAGAAATACAAGAGGTGCTGCCCGTGCTACACCAGATAAATACCACAAAATGCATAAATAAATAAAAACACATGGAAACTTGATCTCGGGTAGTCAGTCACATCAGTGGGAACCAAGGATGAAGTGACTGTTGGGACCACTGGCCCTTTGAGGAAATCAAGTTATCAAGTTGAAGCTGACAGTCTCTCTTGCTTAAATTTTCAAACGGATTAAAAATCAATGTCAAATATCAATGTTACAAAAATACTAAAAAAAGCCACAGGGAAACAGTTTTATAGTCCTTGTGTGGGGAAGGGTACTGCAGAATCATGTTAGAATCATGACTCACACAAGTGAAAATTGATGGATCTGACTACATAAAACAAAGTTTCTGAACAATAAAAAAATTTAAAAGAATGCGTGGTAAAACATGTGCCATACGATAAAGACTATTTTTAAAGTTTTTACAAACCACCAAAGGAAAAAAAAAATCCCACAAAACAAAAAATTACCCCAATAGAAAATAAGCAAAGCAGTTTATAAAACAAATATGAATGTCAAATGTGAAAAAAGTTCACTACAATCAAATAAATGAAAGCTGAAAACTCATTTTTTTACTTAGATTGGCAACAAATAAAAAGATTGACATAGCTAATGCTGATATGGAAACGGCACCTTTCTGTGCTGTGGCTGGGAATATAAGCATGTACTAGCTTCTCGGAAGTATGCTGAGCAATTTTCCCTTCTCCTCCTCACTGAAAATGGTCTTAATTATGAATAGTCACATCAGAAACGCGGACTTTTGCTTACATAGTAATTACACTAAGTTTAGAAAACTCGAAGCTTGAGAGGTGAGTGCCCTTCGGTCGTTCTCAGGCACTAGCAGTTTTGTATTCAGTGTCCCCGAATGCTCTGGAGAAACCAGGGTGCAGTAACACACGCTGAGGTCAGTCTGCAGCTCTGGTGCCCACTGCTTAGCA